TGTGTGTGTGTGTGTGTGTGTGTGTGTGTGTGTGTGTAGAAATTGAGTAGCCAATTATATTTAGGTAGAATTGCAAAGGACCTAAGATATTCAAAGCAATCTTGGAAAAGAACATTAGAGGAGATCCTCAACTAGTGATCATGGGCTGTCCTTTTACCTATAGAAATAAGAGATTAAAAAAATAATTAAAAGTTTAATGTGTATGAATAGGGCTTGTTGTCTGGCGGGCTTCACTGTAGGATAATTGACAGGCACAAAGTTGTTTTATTGGACAACCACCAAATGCAAATGTTTCTGCACGTTTCTGCAGGAGAATAGGGGTGGGTGAGGGGTGCTGGTGTGGTGCAGTGGTGGTTGGTGGCAGAAGCTTGGGAGATGACAGTGGGAAAGGGGACCTTGGATGATACCATTTACCATGCAGACTTTATTGCAAAAATGTTTCAGGGACAGTTCTTCACCGCCTTCCTCTACAATGTTTAGTGTCTGTGTCCAGAGTGTAGGGTTAAACTTCTCACCCTTTCTGTGGGCTGGTAAAGGGTACCCAACTTTTTGAAGTATGGGAGAGACTGTCTATAGACACTTTAATCCCATTGTCACATCCACTTTTTGTCTTATTTGGTGCCTCTACTGTCCAGGCCTTCCCAGGGTTCTTTTAGGTGAATCAGATTGCTTCCTGTTGGCATGCTATTGCCGACAAGCCTGGTTGGGTTTTCTTAAGCTTTCTCCTGTCTGCTAGGAAAATCTCCATTCCACCATCTGTTTTCCATTTTCCAGAATTTCATTGATAACACTTATCTGTTGTTTCCTTCCTTTTCCCTCTCTCTTTCTCTCTCTCTCTCTGTCTCTCTTTGTCCCTTTTTGTGGTTTTGCATTTTTAAATTCTTTACTATCATTTTTGTTTGGTTTCAGGAGTCAGCAGGTAAAAATACTTTAATTTGATCTTTAGTTTAATCTACCATGAAAAACTGGAAATCCTTCCGTGCTTTCCTAAAAGGTAGTGTGATTTGGAGCTGTAGAAAGTGCAGGGTAGGGTATCACAACTGGAGAGAGAGACCGCAGATGGGGAGAGGAGACAAATACAAAAGATATCTAGATGTCATTTTTTAACCCAGTCCTGTTACTTTATATTCTTGAATCTATAGTCCCAATTAGCATGACTATTTAATCATTCTGCTATGCAAAGGATGTAAAAAAAATTTTTTTTCTGCACAAACCCGTGTGGATTTTTATAAAATAATGTGTTTCACTGCTGCTCAAAAATCAATTCCTCCTTGACAAAATATTAGCAAATCAAAGCAAACAATGCATAAAAAATTATACACCACAACCAAGTGGGATTTGTTCCAATTATACAAGGCTAGTTAAACATTTGAAATCAATTAATGTAATCCATCACATCAATAGGCTAAAGAAGAAAAATCATATGATCATATCAATAGTTTCGGAAAAATAAATTGACAAAATCTGACCCTTATTCATGGTATAAACTCTCAAAAAACTAGGAATGGGGGGGAATTTCCTAAAGTTGATAAAGAAATGTCTATTTAAAAAAACCTACAGTTAACATCATACTTAATGATGAGAAACAAAGTACTTTCCCACTTGATTGGGAACGTGACTGGAATGTACTGTCTCAACACTCGTATTCAACGTCATGCTTGAAGTCATATCTAATGAAATAAGACAAGAAAAGGGGGAAAACATAAACAGACTAAGAAGGAAGAAATAAAATAGTCTTTGTTTGCAGATGACATGACCGTCTTTGTAGAAAATCCCAAAGAATCAACAACAACAAAAAGATACCTTGCAATTGGTCATAGCAAGGTTGCAGGATGCAAGGTTACCTGACAAAAGTCAATTGCCTCTTTATGTACCAGCAACAAGCAAGTGGAATTTAAAATTAAAAACTTAATAGCATTTACATTAACACCAACATTGAGATAGAGACCAAAGCAGATCTAAGTTATGGAGAGATATTCCATGCACATGGGTAGGAAGGCTCAATATGTCAAGAGGTCAATTCTTTCTAACTTGATTTATAGATCAAATGCAATCCTAATCCAAGAATAGAGAGCCCAGAAATAGACCCACACAAAAATAGTCAAGTCCTCTTCCATAAAGGAGCAAAAGGCAACTTAATGGAAAAATAATAGTCTTTTCACCAAATGGTGCTGGAACAGCTGGATATCCACATGCAAAAAAATGAATCTCTACAGCTTTCACAAAAAGTAACTCAAAATAAACATAAACCTGAATATACAAAACTCCTAGAAGATAAAATAGAAAATCTAAGTGACTTTGGTTTTGGTGACGACTTTTCAGATAAAGCATCAAAAGCATGATCCATGAAAGAAAAAACTGATAAGTGGGACTTCATTAAAATTTTAAAAACTTCTGCTCTGCAAAGGACACTGTTCAGAGAATGAAATAATCCAGAAATTGAGAGGCAAATCGTTGCAAAGTATGTATCTGATAATGGACTGATATCCACAATATATAAAAAACTCTTAAAAGTCAACAATAAGAAAACAACTCAATTTTTTTTAATGAACAAAAGATCTGAACAGTCACGTTACCAAAGAAGATATAGAAATGGCCAATGATTATATGAAGAGGTGTTGAACATCATATATAGAAAAGAACTGCAAATTAAGACAACAACAAGATACTACTATACATCTGTTAGAATGGCCAAAATCCAAAACACTGACAACACCAAATGCTACTGAGTATGTGGAGCAAGGGGAACTCATTCATTGTTGGGGGGAAAACAAAACGATACGGTGAGTTTGGAAGACAATTTAGCAGCTCTTTTTTGCTTTTTGTTTTTGTTTGCTTGTTTGGTTTGTATTTTTTCAAAACCTTACCATATGATTCAGCAAGTCATGTTCCTTGGTATTTTCTCAAATGAGTTGAAAATTTACCATTCACACAAAAATCTGCACGCAAATGTTTATAGCAGCTTTATTCAACATTGCCAAAACTTGGAGGCAAACAAGATGTCCTTCACCGAGGGAATGGATAAATAGACTGTGGTACGTCCAGACAATGGAATATTAGTCAGCGATGAAAAACTCATGAGCTATCAAGCCATGAAAAGACATGGAGGAAATGTAACTGTATGTTGCCAATCTGAAAGACTGAAAGACTGAAAACTGAAAGAAGCCAGTCTGAAAAAGCTTCACGGTGAGTGATTCCAAACATGCAACAGTCTTGGAAAGGCAAAACTATGGAGAGAACAATACCAGTTGTTTCCAGGGACCAGAAGGTGGGAGGGAGGGAGGAAGAGGTGGAACACAAGGGATTCTTAGGACAGTGAAACTATGATACTGTAACGGTGGATACATGCCATCATACATTTGTCAAAACCCACAGAATATACAACACAAAGTGTGAGCCCGACTGTACATTTGGACTTCAGATAATCATAATGTATCAATATTGGCTCATCAGTTCTGGCAAATGCACTCTACCAATGCAGGATGTTAATAATGGGGGGAAACCAGGTGGGGAAGAGAAGGTATCTAGGAATTGTGTGCTTTCCGCTCATTTTTCTGTAAACCTAAAACTGCTCCAAGAAAGAATGTCTCATATATATATATATATATATATATATATATAGAGAGAGAGAGAGAGAGAGAGAGAGAGAGAGAGAGTTTTGTTTTTTTTTAAGTAAATTACACTTAACATGGAGTCTTGACTGCAGATCAAAAAAAGAATGTCATATATTTATAAGTATATATATAAATATAATAAACAATATAATATATACATATAAATAAATATAATAAATATAAATATATACATATAAATACATATAAATATAACAAATACATAAATATAAATATATATCACATGTATTTATGTATATTATATACTTTTATATAAAGGTCATAAAATATTGTCCAAATATAGTTTTATGTATATGTCATGTATATTTATATATATAAAATATAGTTTTGTTTTGTCCGTTTAAGTAAACTACACCCAACATGGAGTCCTGACTGCCAGATCGAGTCACATGCTCTACTTCATGAACCAGCCAGGCGCCCCGGTCTATTATTTGCAAAAAAGAAAGAGAAAGAAAAGAGAGGATATTTAAAAAGCCAAGTCCATGAGGAAAGAGCTGTAGTGACAGAAGGGGTGTCTACACGTGTGTGTGGATTCATGGGAGCTCATTTCATCACGCACTTAAGATCTATACGTTCAACGGCAAGTAAATTTTCCCTCGGTAAAAAAATCAACTCTATATTATTACCTGTTCTTAATTTGGCTGATACAACACTGAAGAGTTTAAAGGAAGCAGGACTCAGCTGTACGTAAGTGTTGTTGACCTTGGAAAGATGCTGCTGTGTCATGAAGAGGTGGAGAATGGCTCTCTCAAATGCATTTCCTTGCGCAGCTAGCCTTTCAGATTAGCTAATATGTAGAGGGAACAATCCTAGCTCCATATTCCATTCTTCCATGGCTTTTTTTTTTTTTTTGATGCCTGATTATATCTTTTCTTTCAGATTTAGTCAGAGGGGAAATGCCACCTGAGGTCTGAGCGCACATGTGACAGAAATCCTGGGAGAGAAGCACCGTCGTGAACTTGTTCTTGAAGGAATTGAGGGGTCTGCATAGGCCGAGAAATTGGGATTCGTGGCAGCAGGAGTGGCCATGATCCAGGGATGAGTGCTAGCGAGCAAGAAAGAGGCAGAGCTGACCAGACTCCACAAGAGGAGGGTTGTATTTAGGATCCATGAGAAATAAGTACTTAAACATAAGAATGAGAAATTGGGGGCTGGTCACATAATCTTGGAATAATTGGGAGGAGATGCATTTATCTTTCTCCCATACTCAGGAGTCGAGTGGCCTGGATTTGTTTCAGGGGCTGTAACAATTCATTTTAGATCGGCCGGGCCATGGCACCCAGTCGTTTGTTCCAGCACCAGTTTAGAGGTGGTTTGTTCCGTGAGACTAGCATTTAAGTCAGCAGAGTTTTGAGTAAAGCAGGTACCCTCTGTAATGTTTGGGCCTCATCCAATCAGATGAGGGCCTTAAGAGAGACTGGCTGAGGTTCCCCAAATTCTGCCTCCAGGCTGCCTTTGCATCGACCGCAGCATCAGCTCTTCCCGGGGTCCAGCCTGTTGGCCTGTCTGCAGCTTTTGGACTTGCCAGCCTCCATGAGCCATTTCCTGAAAATAAATCTCTCTGTGTATTTATTTAGGCTGCTGTTCTGCTTCTTTGGAGAACCGCTCTGGCCAATACAATGGCTAATAGTCCAGTTCCAGCTCTGAATTCCTCTTGCCTCCTTGCCCTCAACCCAAATCGGCTTCCGGCTCATTCTTAATGTGTGGAAAAATAGGCAGTTTATGTTAAGGCGTTGTTGACGTGAAGTGGATAGGGCATCGTAGTGCCTCTTAAACAACGATAATGCCTTCAGGCCAAAAGAGAGGAGTGCTAAAAGGTTAGCGGCCTGTACCATACATATGCATCAGTTATCTGTACACAGGTATGTGTTTTTACTAATTTGGGTTTTGGTTGGAGTCGCTTTCTGGAGGTCAGTCTCTGCCAGCTGTGGATGGTCGGCGCTTGCAACGGCAGGCTAAGTCTTCACAGTCTGGTAATAGATTTTCTCAGTCCACGGGTGGTACGTTAAGAACCCAGGTCCCCTAGTTCCAGACGCAGTCTGCTGCTGTCAACCAGACATCTAATGCGGTGATTCCGCCCCCCGCCCCCCCAAACCTGATTGCCCACAAGCCTGCCTGCTTCTTGCAGACACAGCCTTCCCTACCGTCCCTTACAAGGGCCCGGTTTATACAACTGGGATTCTCCCCTGGTTCCTTGTTTGCACTCTAGTAATCTGGCACTTCTGGAAGCATGCCACAAACCAAGACCTATTTGGCTGGGCTCTGATCCCCTGCCCAATGTATGCTGGTTCCTATGCCCCAGGGTGTCTGACGCTGCTCACTCCACTAAGTCTTGTTCAACCTGGATAAACTTCTCTTGAACTTTGATTTCTGGTTCCACTTGACTGTGTGTGTTACCACCCCTCGGTGACCATCAGTGCCGTGTCCTTACTGAGTAAGATCTTCTGAGTGGGTCCAACTTTAACTGGACCCGAGTTTTCCTCGCTGCAGTGGACACTGACATGCGTTTAGGGACCCAGTATTGTTCCTGTGTTGATACATCGTGAGTCTAGTCCCATCGTCTCCAGTTAATTTCCTGGTTTCTTCTGGTTAGCCTTTGGGGGCCCAACATGCTTCACATTTTGGTCTGTAAGGGGTTATAATACAGTAATCCAATCACACCACATGGAAGACAGGCAAATACAGATTCTTAAGTAAGAAAGTGACATGATGAAAATGGTATTTTAGGGAATTTAACCTCTTAGCGTTACTCAGGATAGATTGGAAGAAGGGGAGACTGGCTAACATGTTAACCTATTAATTGAGGAATGTGATGCTTAAGTGGCATAGAGTGGTAGTGAATATAAGAAGAAGTAAAGAATCTAAACACTCTATGCCAATAAAATTTTATTTGCATAAAGATGTTCACTGCCGAATAATTTATAATAGCAAAAACTTGCAATGACCTAAATATCCAACAGCAGGAAATGATTTGGGCAAATTTTGTTATAAACTGCTTCATGAAATGTTACAAAGCTAACTAAATAAATTGTTAAGAAGGTTATTAATCAAAATGGAAAAGTGCATATGATGAAATATTAAAGAAAAAAAGGCAGGATCCTGGAAATGCAGGGTAGAGCCACTGTGGAAAACAATATGGAGGTTCCTCAAAAAATGAAAAATAGAATTACTAGGGCACCTGGGTGGCTCAGTTGGTTGAGCATCTGACTTTGGCGTAGGTCATGATCTCATGGTTCATGAGTTTGAGCCCTCCATCAGGCTCACTGCTGTCAGCACAGAGCCCACTTTAGACTCTCTCTCCCCTTCTCTCTCTCTCTGCCCCTCCCCTGCTCATGCTCTCTCTCTCTCTCAAAAACAAATAAAATATAAAAAAAGAAAAAAAGAAAATTACCATGTGATCCAGCAATTCCACTACTAGGTACTTCGCTTAAGAATCACAAAACACTCATTTGAAAAGGTATTTGTACCTCTATGTTTATTGCATTATTTACAATAGCCAAATTATAGAAGCAGCCCACGCGTCCATCAATAGGTGAATGGATAAAGAAGATGTGGTACGTATACACAATAAATACTACTCAGCTATAAAAAAGAATGAGATCCTGCCATTTGCAGCAGCATGGATGGAGCTAGAAGGTATGATGCTAAGTGAAAGAAGTCAGTCCGAGAAAGACAAATACCATATGATTCCACTCACGTGGAATCTAAGAAACAAAACAAATGAACAACAAAAAAGAGACAAACCAGAGAATGTAGTAGAACAAACTGAGGGTTTCCAGAGGGGAGGTGGGTGGAGGGATGGATGAAAAAAGTGAAGGGGGTTAAGAGCTCCCTTTACGAGGACTGAGTAATGTATAGAATTGTTGAATCAGTCTATTGTACACCTGAAACTAATATAACATTGTATGTTAATTATGCAGGGTATAAAATATGCACACAATTATTACAAAATCTGAATATGCATATAAAATATGTGTAAAAGTTGTATGAAATGGTAACAATGATTGTGGCAGAGGTGGATTTATGTATGCTTTCATTTTCTCTGTTTTCCAAATTTCTATAACATGGTTATATTAATTTTAAAGATTCTGGGATTCCAGCTTCCTACTGAGACTAATTCTTTCTCTGATTTAAATGATTATTTTGACACATTTATTGGTGTTCTCATGTCTCCTACGTCCTGGAATGAGCCTTGAGTGAGGATAAAGCCAGCCACTTTGAAAAAGTCATCGTTTCGTTACCAAAAGCAGGTTTGGCCATTGATGAAAAATAAAAACAAAGAAGCAACAACAACAAAAACATCTTTTTCCAGGCACTTCAAGAAATACCTGTTTACTGGAAATAATTGGATTTATATTGATTTCTAGCATAGCTGGGCTTTCTACCTTGAGGCGGTGCTAACTTAGTTGGTAAGATCATGCACTTTGAAGTAAGGCAGAAATGGGTTCAAATTCTAGGTCCTCTGCTCATAGCTGTGGGACTGTGGGCAAGTTACATAATCGTGCCATGTCTTCGTTTGCTCAGAGGGTGATGTTACGGACCTTTGGAGATGGGAGGGTTGTTGAAGCAAGGCCAAGTTGAGCCATCACTCAACTTTACCAAGTTGCTGCTGAGGGAGAAGGGCCTTGGCCCCTGAATGGATCCTGTAACCCCCACATCCTCCATTCAGGGGAGGTCAGGGCAGGACTGTGCTCAAAAACCTTATGTCTTTTGACACAATGGGCTCTAAAATACCATCTGCATTAATGACTCTCCTGGGACTGTTTGGAAGTCACCATGCTCTAGTGCCCAGATATTCTTAGGCAGCTACAGAATTTATTGAGGATAATAATTTCCAGAGGAGGCTGTGGAGCTGGCACTCTTTGTACACCTTAATGGTGGCAAAGATGAACAGATAAGTGAGTAGTCCACCAATAACCTCTGAATTTATATATAATAGCTCTCTGAACACATCTCCCTGAATGCCCCCTTTGGTGGTATTTATTGCTTTACCACCACCTCTTCCGGCTATTATCCTGAACCTCTGTGAGCCCAGCTACTGGTCAAATCTATGTCGTAGCTCAGGCTGCTCAGCCTACAGGACACCCTCTAGCATCACAAGGGACATTATAATAAAGGCCATAGTCAATAACTACCAAATAGCAAGGTGAATGATTCAGATGGGAGATGTCCTGCCTGTCCTTCTACTGCCCTCCTCATCTGTCCTTGTCATAGAGTCTGGACCCCTTTGTAATGACAAAGTTCATAACTCTGGTTGCCTCCCATATTCAGTTCCCCTATTTATACATTTCTACCTCCAATTTTAGCACCTGTTCTCTATTCCATACTCTGAAAGATTCATCCCAGCAATCGTACATGGGCCCCCAAAGAAGTGATTAGTGAGGATGATGTAGAACAGTTCAAGAACTATTCCAAGAATAGTTTCAACTTTGGCCCAGTAGGAAGGGCTCAGATTGAAGGATGCTCAAAGGATATTCCTACACACCCCAGAGAGCAACTCCATTTCCATCAAGAATACCCAGATGGGAAACTCTGGGCCTATCCTGTTTGATAGGAGGGACCTTTTGGAAGAGATTAACCTGACTTTGTGTCCTTAAACTGGCCAGGCACCCCTAACACACGAGTCCAATTCTCAATGTAAATGAATTCCTACTCTGACGCATTGTGCACAGCTTAGAATGCCAAATATTATTTCATGATTGCAGTCTGCTTGAGGAAAATATTTCTAATGCCTTTGGCTCTTGATCCCTTGCCCTACCTCCTGTTTATAGGCATATACTTGTCCCTCTGATCTCATGCTTGGCTTATGGGCATGAACTTCTTGTTTCTCTTTACAACAACTTTCACTTACCCTTAGGATTACCTCTGCTTCTACCTCTCTGAGTCAACACTTTTGCCTGGCTCAGTCCTCCCCCCATAACACCTGACATTACCGTCTCATGGCAGGTATTTTCACCCTAGCCCTGTTAATAGGAACCGCACATAAGAAATTAACATATCAGTCTACCGCCCTACTGTAAGGACTATAGTTTTATAGCCATTTTCACCCCTTTTACCCTGCAAAGCCCCAATCTAGTAACCCTCAGGGGCAAGGTTTATAGAGAGCAGAGTCAGAAACCAGTCAAGTGTGAACACTTTAAGACAGAGTACAGCAAAAAGAAGTGTGAAGAGCAACTAGGAAGCTGTAAATAATATATTCATCTGACTGTCTTGCTCATGGACTCTGATCTCTGCACTTTGTTACCTATGTTACTTCTCTATCTGCCCCTGACTCTAACCTGTTTCCTCTTGGCTGGATCCATGAATTTGCTGGATCCGTGAATAAGCTCTTGGCTTACCTCTTCTACTTAACATTCCGCCTGTCCTCCACCCTGCCTGCCCAGTGTGGAATGATTAGGTTCTCCTCCGCCAGCTGCTACACTTTTCATTGTTTTGGGGTCTAGTGCTAATTGAGCACCTCACCAGAACTGACCAGAAGCAATGCTCCTGAGCACCCCAAATCCATCCCATGGACAACAGATACCTTTGAATAGGATTAATACCCC